ATCGCCTTTTAACATGGGGCAGGTCATGTGACTTCCCGCCACCCCTGCACCTTTCGAGAAAGGTCCCCAGGGGCTCCTGCCGCCCTCAGGATGCCACGTGTATTTCTGAGCATGGGTGTTAGCCCTGGCCAGGCCCTCCAGCCATGCCCCAAAGTGCCACTTGGTAGGCACAGAGGCCATTTTCCCGTCGCCATGCCTCAGAGGCCTCCTGCTCTGCCAAAGCCCCTTCCCTCTCCTTGCATGTCAGCACACCTGGCTGCCTCGTCTGCACCATGAATGTGCCTTTTGAATGTGTCCTCATCACCGTCACCTCCATCTGGCCTGTCTTTGTCAACCTAAGTGCAAGCTCCATACAGTTGGGGGCCACATCTTTCAGTGGCTGGTGTGCCCCTTGGGGGTTCAGGGCATGCTGGCGGAGGGAAAGAATCAGGCAATGGCATCATTTGGCTTAAATGGGCTTAGGGAGGAGGCTGTGAACCCCCAACCGAGGGCGGAGGTAGGGCACCTGGATGTAGGACCTTCTAGGAAATGCTGTGTGACCTTGGTTGAGTTACTTAACCTCCCTGTGTCTTTGCATTCTCATCCATAAAACTGGGATGATACCAGTTGTTGGGAGGATTCAAGTAACAGGTAACAGGAAGCGATTAGGAGAAGGCCTCATCAAACGTGCTCAGCTTGTTCGTTGTTTTTATTGAGATAGTTTTCTGCATAGCCCGCGGTCTGGGGCTTCTGCACAGGCCCAGTCATGCGCTACTTGTCTGGCAGGCTCAGGGTTACGGGTTCATTGTCCAGATCTGGGGGCAGGTGTCCCTTGGGGCTTTGGGCCAGTGGCTCTGGCTAACCATAGATCCAGTAGGGTTTGCCACAGAGTTGTGCTGTGGTTTGGGGGGATGTTTCTGACCATACACGGGGCACAAACCCACTGTCGGCCTGACCAGTGGCACGTCTGAAAGGCAGAGGTAGCCCTCCACCACGAGGGCGAGGTCCTTTGAGATAGTGGAGCTGGCTTCTAGTTCTTTCTGATTCCCCTTCTTTCAGGCCCCTCACATCGAGGGAATGGTGCCCACGGGCGTTTTCTGCTGCACAGAGAGTCCTTTGTGTGCCTTGTGAGACAAGGATTCTTGAAGGCCTCGCTCCTCAGTGGGGTCTGAGGCCAGCCGTGGCAGCTTCTCCTGGCCCTGGTTAGAAATGCAGAGTCCCAGGTCCCACCCCAGACCCACTGAGTGGGAATTGGCAGGGGATGTGTATGCACCTTCAGGTGTGGGTAGCACTGGCCTGGAGCAGGGTGCTCTAACGAAAGCCTGCAGGCCAAATCCGGCCCACCACCTGCTTTTGTAAATAAAGTTTTACTGGCACACAGCCATGCCCTTTTTTGATACAAGGGCTGCTTTCACAAGACAGTGGCAGAGTTGAGTAGGGGGGTGACAGAGACCGCATACTTATCCTCTGGTCCTTACAGAAAACGTTTGCCAGTCCCTGGTAAAGCACTGGTTTTCAAATCTGGCTGCCCATCGGGATAACCTGGAATTTAACATATGAATGCCTGGGTCTTGGCCCAGAGATTCGGATGTCATTGGTGTGGGGTGTGGCCTGGGCATCAGGACTTCTCAGGGCTCCCCATGAGATCTGAGTGTGCAGCCAATGTCATAGGATCTTGAGAACCATGGACCTCAGTGGCCTGGGAAGCCCAGCAAGTGCAGTTCTGCCACTCTGTGGACAGGCCCAAGACCCGGCAGCCCAGCCTCGCCAGCGTTGGCCGCTGCACTTGCTGCCCTAAAACAAAGAAGGCTTTGGGGGCTGAGCCGGCTGCCAGGTCCCCCCAGCTCCTCGGGGAGTTGTGAGCTGGGGCCTCCCTCTCCCTGCGCAATCTCCCAGCAGCGAGTATGAGCAGCCCTAAATCAGTCCCTCGGCCTCCCGGGTGGCCGCTGCGAGACCCTGCAGATGTTCGTCATTAAGGCTCCCGGGGTCTGTCCCACTGGAAAGCATGTTTTAAGGCCAGGGCTGCTCTGGTATTCCTCCTTTTCATCTTCCGCTACCGGACTCACTCAACGTGGGCTGCAGGGATGCCTCTCCCACAGGAGATGTTGAGCCCACAGGAAGTGAGGAGCCCGTGCACAGGGCCCTAGGCCTTGGCTGCAGGGTGGCTCAGAAGGGACCACCTTGTGCTAGTGGGTGTTGCTGTATCCACTCCAACCAGAGGGTGAGGGTGGAAGGCACCCCTGCCCTGGGGCTTGTTAACATGTCAGGTAAGAGGAGGAGGCAGGGCTTGGTGACAGGATTGCACTTGGTGCCTCAGTTTCCTCTTCTGTAAGATGGACGGGTGAGTGGGTAGGGGAGACCACGTGGGATGGAGCCAGGCATGTGGCACCGTGAGCGATCGAACACGGAGACATGGGGGTTGACCATCCAGGAGAGAGGGGGTTGTGGGCAGGCCCTGGCAGGGCTTGTAGAGTGTGGAGTAGGGGGCAGGTAGGACAGGTAGACGGGGCGGGCTGGCGACTCTGCAGAACACAAACCCTAGATCCTGGCCGGGGGTTGGCTGAGACTCTCAGCTGGGGCTTTGGGGACAGCAGGGTCACATCCCCCACATGCTGGGCTGTCAACCTTCTTTGCTCCGAGACCTTGAAGCTTTGCCTCTCTGAGCCTCAGTTTCCTCCTCTGCAGAATGTGGCCAGTGATCATGGCTCTCCTATTTCTGAGGCTGGAATAGTGTTTGCAAAGTACTTGGTGTGGTGCAGGGGGTGGGTGACCCGCCGTGACATCCCTCTGGGTCACTGTTACTCATGGTGTTTTCATCTCCATCAGGACTTCAGAGGGGCCAGGAGCCGGCCCATGTAAAATGGACAGCACAGTGCTGGGTGTATAGTCAGCTCTCGGGGATCTGTGGGGATTTTCTCCTCTGCACCAGCCTCTTCCTCCTTGGGCTTTTCTGAGGACTCGGAGGAGAGCTCCAGTGGGGAAGGTTCGTAGCTCAGGGCCTGGCCCAGGCGCACCCCTCTCCTGACGGGCCCCTGCCTGTGGCCTGATGGGTGTGGAGCTGCATTTACTGGCCATGCCAGGGCAGACATTAACCTGCTTTGTGGGTCCATGGGTGAGGCCCCAGGGGGTCATGGAGCCCCCACCAGCCTAGACGCAGGGGCGAACGGGCAGATGCTCCGGGAAGGAGGCTCCGTGGCCGCTGCTCCCATCAGGAGGGATGCTGCAGCCCAGGTGGGGACTTCTTGGCACAGACGTAGCTGAGTGTGGTCTCAGGAGACACCAAGCTCCATGTGATTCAAAAGCCCCGGCCCTGCCCAGACTCCGGCCCTGGGCTGTTGCCAGGGACATCTGACCCAGGGAGACGGCATCCAGGCCGGGCAGCCCAGGGGGCAGGGCTCCCTCCCCAGGTCCCCACCTCTGCCCACATCAGGCAAATGTGGACAGAAAGGACACTGTAGGAACAAGCCTAAAAAACCTCCTGCCCCAGCTTCTGCCTCCAAAAGAGTCTTCACCTGGCGGCTGTTTAAAGGTTACGTTTGAGGGTTTGAGGTCAGGAGAGGGAGAACAGGCTGGTCCCAGAATGCCGGACACCTGTTGGGGAATCAGCAGCAACCTGGGGCGGGGAGACTGTTCCAAGTCATTGGGCCACTCTGCCCCTTCCTGGCTCCTCTTACAGAACACGGTGGCGTGGGATTCCTGGGGAAGAGAGGCAGATGCAGGCCCGAGGTTCTGCCCTGGACCCAGCAGCAGCCTCAGAGAGCCCACGGTTGCCTGCAGCCGTGAGACCCTTGCTCTGTTTCTCTGCCCCATCCTAAATGAAAAGAGGCTGGAGAGAGCGTTGTGTGCAGGGCCCGCGCCTGTTCCTGGCAGGAAGGAAAGGCCGGAGAAGGGGCCTCTCTCACCTTCCCGACCCCTCCTCTTCTATCTGCTTGGAGTTCTCGCTCCCTGGTTTGAAACATTGGTGTGTGTGCCCCTGGTACACATTAAAAGGCTTTGGGGTTTATTTTTATTTCGCTTGGCTCAAAGGGATGGAAAGATGGTCTGGTTTGGCAGCTGCCTGCAGGGAGGACCTTGGGGTGTCCAAGAAAATCAGTGTGTGCTTTAAAAGAAATCAGGCGGGATGAAAGGAAATCGGGAGGCAGTGCGGGGAGGAGCTCACACTCCTTCCTCTATGTCGGTGAGGGGAGGGGCGGCAGGCCCAGAGTGGCTGGGACAGGTTGGGGAGGCAGACAACAGGAAGAGGCCCAAGTTAGGAGGCTGGCTTGGCTCCCAGCCTCTCTGATCTGCTCTGTAAAATGGGCTTGTTCTGTCCCCCTGGGGTGCCAGCATGCGAGGGAGACAGCAGGAGCGGCCACCTCCACGCAGGCCTGGGGCCTTCCTGGGCTCTGGGGAATCAGGGGCATCCCCCCACCTCCCCGTTGTACAGACTCAGAGACAGAGGCTTAGAGAGGTGCCCTCAGCTCTGGTGGGGGCAGGGCTGGGGCATCAGGGGTGTGTCCCCACCTTCCCAGATGCTCAGGCACCCCTGCTGAGGCTCACCAGGGCACCTCTGGGGCCCGGATCACTTCTGCCCCTCTTAAATATCCGGGCCAGATGCGCATGTAAGCATGGCGAGGATTCTCTCAACCTCCCAGCCCTCAGCTGAGGCTCAGCTGAGGCACATACTCACGTTGCCAAGGCAAAGGAATCAGCACAGAGAGGTTAAGACCCTCATCCAAGCGCACACAGCCACTGTGTGGAAAGGGCAGGAATTGAAACCAGCACTTCTGACACCAGTGCTTCCTGCCCCTCACCCCAACTCCGCCTACCCAGGCCCCTAGGGCGGCAGGACCCCAGGCGGTGCCTCTCCCCAGCTCATGCCAGTGGGGCCTGGCTTCCCGGTTGTTTACGGCCTCTTCTGGGTGGACCCCACGTGTTTTTTTCCTCCTCCCCAGCTCAGGCTGAGCCCAGGTGCAGAGATTCACCTGTTCATGGTTTCCTTCCCTCCCCACTCCCCTCTGCCCTCCCCCGGGGTCTGACAGCAGCAGCAACAGCAGCAGCAGCAGCAGCCCATGCCCCGCAGCAGCCAGGAGGAGAAAGATGAGAAGGAGAAGGAAAAGGAGGCGGAGAAGGAGGAGGAGAAGCCGGAGGTGGAGAACGACAAGGAAGACCTCCTCAAGTAAGGCAGCCCGCTGTCCCCTGCAGGGCCCGGCTGCTGACCCAACCTAGGTGGCACACGGGTCTGGGGAGCCCTTTGTAGAGATGGGTGGGGCGTCCACTAATTGCCTGTGAGCAGGGGAGAGGGCTTTCTGCTTGTCTGCCCCTGACAGCCCCCCTTCCAGAAGCCCTCCCATCGCCCTCCTCCTCCTTCCCGGCTCCCCCCCGTATCCGCTCTCCCTTTCTTTCTCCAACCCTCTGGAGACTTTAGAGACTGATAGCTCATTTGAGCTCCACTCCTGAGCTAATAAATCCAGGCAATGACTTTGGAACTCTCTGCCTCCCCTCCTCCTCCCGCTCTTGCCTCCTGAGGCGCCAGGAAGGGGGAAGGGGGGATCAGAGGCACTCCTGGAAGGACTAGGTGTGCAGGCGGCTGCTGTCACCTTTAGAATCATTGATGGCAGTGTGAGTTCTTGCAGATCAAGGCACAGCCTCACCGTGGGGGCCGTGACGGCCTCCTGTGCCTGCCAGGGGCTGTGGGAGTGCAGCCAGCTGGAGAAAGGGGGGCGGCACGACTTAGCGCCAGGTACCTGTAATGGGCTCTGGAATTTGGCTTCAGAGAACATCTGGCTTCCTCACCCCGTCTCCCAGACACTTCCAGCAAGGGCCTTTCAGGAAGATGAATGGGAAGGTGGAGGTGATCAGTCTGAGCCTCCCGCAGTAAAACTCTCCCCAGTTGCTTCTGCAAGAGCCCCAGCTTGTGTATCGAGGTTGCGAGCACCCCCACACACCTCAACTAGGCCTGCAGGCTAGGCCTGCATAAAACCGGCAAGAGAGTTTCCTCCTGCCAATGCCTAAGACACCTGGCCCTTGATAATACTGAAGGCCAATGTATTGCCTCTTATAGAGCCCCTCTGGAAATAGCTCCTCTGTGGTGAATAAAATGGCCCTGTAAATTGCTGCCAGCCCACACCTCCATTTAGTTCACCAAATAGTCTTGCAGACAGTATCTATTTGGTGCATAAAATGGTCTTGCAGATAGCCACCAGCCCAGAAGGAAAGTTCCCAGTACCTCCCATTTGGGGGAATAAAATAGCCAGCCAATTAACTACCTGTCTACATGGCCTTATTGGTGAATTAAGTAGTTGATAGCCCAGGTTACACCCCCTATCCTTTTTTTTTTTTTTTTTTTGAGACAGGATCTTGTTCTGTCGCCCAGGCTGGAGTGCAGTGGTATAATCATGGCTCACTGCAGCCTCGACCTCCCAGGCTCAAGAGATCCCCCTGCCTTAGCCTTCCAAGCAGCTGGGACCATCAGCATATGCCACCACACCTGGCTAATTTTCTGATATTTTTCTTTTGTAGAAATGGGGTCTTGCTATGTTTCCCAGGCTGGTCTTAAACTCCTGGGCTCAAGCGATCCTCCAACTTTGGCCTCCCAAACTGCTGAGATTACAGGTGTGACCCAGCACACCTGGCCGCAACTCCCTTTTGAGAAATAGCCTGGCATTGTTCTGCCAGCTGTACTCCCACGTCTGGTGAACGGGGAGGCCCTGCAGACCACCCCCGGCCACCCTCACCTTAGGCCTCTCCCCGTCTTTCTTAGCATCTGATTAGCGCCACTGCTGGCAGGCAGTGCAAATCCAGCTGAAGAAACGGTCTCCTCCAGTGGCCGTTTGATTTCCCGGCTCAGGTGAAACCATCCTGTCTCCCCTCTCTGGCCTGTAGGGAGAAGACAGACGACACCTCAGGGGAGGACAACGACGAGAAGGAGGCCGTGGCCTCCAAAGGCCGCAAAACTGCCAACAGCCAGGGGAGACGCAAAGGCCGCATCACCCGCTCAATGGCTAATGAGGCCAACAGTGAGGAGGCCATCACCCCCCAGCAGAGTGCCGAGCTAGGTGAGCCAGGGGCCAGGATGCAGGTGGGGGAGGGGCTGGAGACATGGCGGGTTGCACTCATATGAAAGTTTCGTGCAATTTGAGTTAATTGGCAACTGCCAAGGGGCTGACGTAAGTCATGGTTGAGGTCAAATCCCAGTGCTAATTACTGGATGTGCTGTGTGACCCAGAGGGAATTCCTGAACCTTTCTGTGCCTCAAGGTCCTCATGTTCTCAGTGGGAGAAATCGGTGGTTACCTCTAAACATGGAGGGAGAGTTGTAGTCACTTGCTATGTGAGAAGCACCTAGAACAGTGCCTGGGGTGTAGGAAGAGCTCAGTGGCTTCAACCAAAGTGATTTCAGAGCATGAAGATGTCACATAAAAAACCCAATGACCAATTCTGGATTTTTTGGTTGTCGTTTTTAAAACAGAAGATCTGGCCACGCGTGGCCCAGGTTGCCACGAGGTGGCAGTTGTTGGGAGCCAAGTAACCAGCACCCCTTCTTAGAATGTCATGGGCTCTACTTGTCCCCACCCAGCCTCCACCCTGGTAGGCATCTGGGTTTGTACCTTCACTTCCGTGGGCCTCGGCTTCCCCTTCTGTTGAGAAGGGTGTTCATCCCTCATTGCCCTCCCAGAAAGTGGAAAAAAGTAAGAGATGATGTCAGTGGCAGTTCCCAAGATTCGCCACAGGGGGCAGCGGTGTGCGCCTGTTGTCTCTACTTTGTTTAGCTGTTAGGCTCCAGCCCTCCAACCACTGCGGGAACCCACCCAGGGGCCAAGCGCTCAGGCCGAAGCCCCACCTGCCAGGGCTCATCCTCAGGGTGGAGATGCTGCTTCATCTCTCACAGAGCCCCACCGTCCCCTAGGGTCCGGCTCACACACCTGTCTCTTCTTCCCATGGGATGTAGTTTGGACCTATTTCGTAAATGGCCCACTTGAAGCTCAGAGAGGAAACATGGCCTCTCTAAAAATTTCAGTGTAGCTGGCCGGGCACGGTGGCTCACGCCTGTAATCCCAGCACTTTGGGAGGCCGAGGCGGGCAGATCATGAGGTCAGGAGATTGAGACCATCCTGGCAAACACGATGAAACCCTGTCTCTACTAAAAATACAAAAAATTAGCCGGGCTTGGTGGCAGATGCCTGTAGTCCCAGCTACTTGGGAGGCTGAGGCAGGAGAATGGCATAAACCCGGGAGGCGGAGCTTGCAGTGATCCGAGATCGTGCCAATGCACTCCAGCCTGGGCGACAGTGCGCGACTCCGTCTCAAAAAAAAAAAAAAAAAAAATTCAGTGTAGCTGGGATTAGAGCTCAGCCCCATTGGCCACAGAGCCTGTGTAGCTCCTGTAGGTATTTTCCAGCCGCCCTTTGGTGGCAGTGTACTTGGAGGCCCAGGGTGAAAGGGAAAGGGCTTTCTTCCTGCCTGATCTCTGGGGATAATGCTCTCGGACCCAAGGCTGATGCTGAGGGCTCAGCCGCAGGGTGGAAAACACACTCCTGGGCCTTCCACATCTCTTTTGGCACCGGGCACCCTCAGCACCCCGGCATCCCTGGCACCGCTGGCTTCTGTAGGCTTCCTCTGGGAGTCCTGTGGGGAGGAACGGGAGCATCGATGAGGTCCCAGAGAGGCCCAGGCTGTGGCTGCAGAGATAGGGGAGGCTGGGGTGGTTCTGGCCTGTCAGGGGTGATGGGGCTGCCCATGGGGGTGGGGGCCGTCTCCCCTCTTCTGCTGGAACCTTCCTCCACTCCTCAGCCAGCCTCTATTGGACACATACTCCGCCTGGCACAGTTCCAGGCGCTGATTCCATGAACTGACATCCCTCGCACCCACCCCACTCACAGGTCTTAAGCAACTGGAGAAGAAGGACCAGGGCTCACATCCAGGGGAGCTCGGCAGACAGACCCAAAAATAGTGCCACAGCAGAGACACAGCCACCTCCAGCCAACCCCAAGGCCAGGCTGTGTCCCTTCCCAGTGACACCAGAGGCCCCTCCTTGTACTGGATGGGTGGGGGGTACGAAAATTACCCTCTGGGGTAGGGCTTCTCCACCATGGGCGATTTTACTCCCCCACTGGGGGACGCCTGGCAATGTCTGTGAACAGTTTTGATTGTCACAGTTGGAGCGGAGCCGCTGGCATCCAGCGTGCAGAGTCCAGGGTTGCTAAGCATCCTGCCGTGATGGGACAGCCCCACAGTCATGGAAGAGCTGGGCTCCGAGAGGGTACTCGGTCAGGTGAGGTCCTGGCCCACCTGAAGCTCATGTCCCACGGTCACCAAGTCACCAGGTGACTGCTTTCCCAACAGAGTACAGGCAGAGGCAGTCATGATCAAGGCCCTTGACTGCTTCAGTGTCACCTTCTATAAAATGGGGTGATGGCAGGTGCCCCGACCTGGGCGGCTTGTGTGGAGGTTGGCCCCGACCAACGGCATGTGGGACTGCCCAGCACAGCCCCAGCCCAGCATAAAGGCTCAGGAGTCAGGTGCCACGATGGGTACTGGCTGGGGAGGGGCGCCTGAAATGTGGCCTTCCCATGGGATTCAGAGCCGTGGGGTGACACCGTCAAGGCCTAGTCCACTCCCTCCCTGGCTCAAAGGAGAGAAAAGGGCGGAAGGCAAAGTGCCTCCTTTCCCGGCTCCTGCCAATCACCTGGCGTCTTCTTTTCAGCCTCCATGGAGCTGAATGAGAGTTCTCGCTGGACGGAAGAAGAAATGGAAACAGCCAAGAAAGGTGAGGGGTGTGCACGGCTTTAAGCCTTGTTGGTTTGCGTCCAGGGCGCTTGAAACTCGCGTGCTGGGGAGGGTGTTGACACATTTGGCCTTGAACCAGGGACTGTGGTGAGGCCTCTGGTGAGGCTCTGGTTCCGGGCTGTTCTCAGGCTTGTCACCGTGGAGCCTCAGTTTTACCCTCCTGAAAATGGGTCTGTGCAGCTGCACTGTCAGGCTAGGCTTTGTGACTTGAGGGCACAGCCCAGAGAGACACAGCCTGTGCTGTGCATGTAGTCAGCGAGTGGCTTCTGGGTGATCTCTGTGGCCAGCACCTCTTGGCCTTGGGGACAGAGCAGCAGCAGCACACCTGGGTGCCTCAGGACAGTCAGAGCTTGCCGGCGGCCATTTCGGAAGAGTCCTGGGGTCAGGGAGACCTGCAGGGCGTTTGTCCAGCCCTTAGGCAGAGCCCCAAAGGCCCCATCTGGGCTCAAGTGTGCTGGGGCTTTGGAAACCTGTCTTAGGTTTGAGCACCCAGTCTGGGTGATGACGGGTTCTGGAGTGGATGGGGACACCTAGGCTGCTGGGGACAGTCGTGGGAGCGGGTCACGTGGCAGGGAGCCAGCAGGCGTTGGTGCTGGCAGCGGAAGCCATTCCCAGTTTGCAGGTGGCCTTGTGATGTGCAGCACGGCGGAGGCTGGGGCCCAGTTCCTCCTAAGCCGGAGACCGTCTCAGCTGTGCTGTCTCCTGGCCAAGTTCTTTACTTCCCAGCACAGTGACCTGACTCTGGGCCTCCATTTGCCCGTCTGTTAAGTGGGAGGGGCATCCAGGTTGGCTGTGAGGAATCAGATAACCCTGTGTGAGGGCCCACAGTGGGCTGAGTGGGAGCGAATCTCCCCCGTCCCTCACCTGTACCTGGCCTAGGGCAGGGGCTGTGGGAGCTGGGGCATCACTGGCAGCACTGCTGAGGCCGGGGCGGCACCTGGCTCCCACGGCGCGCTCGCTCTCAGTTATCTAAGAGGTGGCGCATGTTCCTGTCCCCGCCCATGTCCCTGTTTGTGGGCGAGGAGCCAGGAAGCAGAGGCCAAGGAGTGCCACGGGTACCGGAGCTGGTGTGTGCGGCCGGGAGCTGGCCCAGGCCCCTAGTCCCTGTCCCCGCCCCGTGCTTGGTCCCGTGGCCCTGCTGGAGTTGAGGCTGTCTGTGACGTGCGGTTTCTTTGTACAGAAAGCTCCAGGTCGTGACTTACGGAGGGAACAAAGGCCCTTTATAGCGAACGCTCCTGGCACATAAGGGCAGGTGTATCTGAGAACAGGCTGGAGCACGGGGCTTCTGGACCCGGACCCGCCCTCCACTATAGTTGTGGGAGGTGCTGAGGGTCCCCACAGCCCTGAGAAGACCCCCATAGCCCCCGCCCTCACCCCGGGACCCTGCCCCTCGCCCTCAGAGCTCCTCCAGGGGCCCTCTGCCCTCCACCTCCCAGGCTGAGGTGAGCCTGGACCCAGAGAGACCCTTACACCTTTCAGGAAGGAGGGCCCGCCTGCCGCTGCAGTGGGTCCGGCTCTGTGTGTGGTGGGCAAGAGGCATGCCAGTGGGGCCTGGGCACGTATCCAGCTGGTAGGGCCTGGGGCTGCTGTCAGCCCCCAGAGAGGCCAAGTTGTTTCTGTGTCTTAAATGTCCACTTGGTGGTTTCTGGTGTGTATTTCATTATAGGCTGCAAAAGAAGCTTTACTGAGACCGTGTGATTCCCCCCGCCTTTTATTTAATTTTGATACGATACACATAACCTGAAGCTCACCATTCTAACCACTGGAAAGTGAACATCTCAGTGGCATTGAGTACATCTGCATTGGTGTGCAACCCTCCCCACTGTCTAGTTCCGGAACTTTTTCTCACCCCAGATGGAAATCCCATACCCATTAGCAGTCCCTCCCAGGGCCCCGCCCCAACCCTGCCAGCCCCTGGCAGCCACTAATGCACTCTCTGTCTCTGTGGATTGGCCTGTTCCGGGCGTTTCCAATGAATGGCATCCTACAGTGTGTGGCCTTTTGTGTCTGGCTCCTTTCTCGGAGCGTGATGGTTCTGAGGTTCATCTGAGTAGCTTTGTATGGCTGAATAATATTCCATCACCTGCGCAGACCACATTTTGTCGGTCGTTCATCTCTTGGGGACGTGCAGGTTGTTTCCATGTGGCTGTTGTGAAGAGTGCTGCTGTGAGCATTTGTGTAAAATTATATGAGATTTTTAATCATACGTGAGTCCCTGGGATCTTAGCCTGTTGGCTGGGAGATTGCCCAGAGCACCCACCCATAGGAGGACTCCACGTGGACGTACCCAAATGGTCAGCCCGAGGTTCCACCGCCTCTCCATCCCCTCTCATGTCTCCTGCTGTCACCACCACCTCTTCACCAGTGACCCCCCCCCCCCCCATTGCCTGAGAACTGGGAGACAGCGCCTGCCCTCTCTTTGCCTTCTGGAAGGGCAGATCCGGAGGCTGGGAGGACGGCTGGGGATGACTCACCGGCACAGAGGAGCCCGTGTCCCACCATCTCAAGGTTGGGTCCTCAGTGACGACAGTGAGCTCATCCTGGGTTCTGCCCGTGGAGATGGCAGTGAGAGTCCCCTGGGGGCCGTGCACGCGGAGGCCCTGCTCAGTGACATTTGTAATGATGCCGTGAGCAGCAGCGTGCTCGTCTGCCGTGAATTACAGCAATCTGGACAATTACTGCTCAGGGTGGCTGCTAATGGCTGTGTGTTCCAGGCGGTGGCAGGAGGGAGCGGGGGTGGGGCGGGGAGACAGGTGCTGGCAGCCCCCAGCAACTCCTCCATATAGGGAGGTGGGGGTGGAGAAGCTAGGAAAGTTCTGGAGCCCCTGCCCAGAAAACCAAGAGTTAGGAAAAGGGACTGGAGAAGCGGCTATTGCTGAGGCAGATGGTCTCCGCCCATCCTTTACCCATCATTTCAGCAACACAGTGCCTAACCCTCTGTATGGCAGGGGCACTCAGGAATGAGCCAGCCCCACCCCTCCCTCAGGGAGCCTGGGCAGATAAGTGGCCAGGTTTCCCCAGGGCCTTCGGACCCCAGCCTGCCTGAAGCCTCTGCAAGACTTTAGCAGCACGGCCCTGGAGGATGAGCAGCAGTGGGGCCCCATCCCTCGGGAGAAACCAAGTCTCAACCGCTGGATGTTTCCGCTGTGTAACCTCAGGCAAGCTGGTCAACCTCTCTGTGCCTCAGTTTCTTCATCTGTACAGTGGGAGTCAAGGAGCACCCACTGTGTGTTTCCTGTGGCTGCCATAATAAAGGGTCATGAACTGGGTGGCTTAACTATATTCTCTCACTCTTCTGGAGATGAGAAGTCCAAGTTGAAGGCATCCGAGAGGCTGCATTCCCTCCAGAGGCTCTGGGGAGGAGCCTGCCTTACCTCCCCCAGCCCCTGGCACCTGCCGGCAGCCTTAGCGGTCCTTGGCTCATGACCGTGTCCCTGCAGGCTCTGCCTTCGTCTTTGTGTGCCTTTCTCCCTGCGTGTCTCTGTCCACATTTCCCTCTTCTTACAAGGACCCATCCCAATCCAGTATGACCCCACGTTGACTTGATCACATCTGCAAACATCCTTTTTCCAAATAAGGTCACATCATAGGTTCTGGTGGACATGAAGCATTGGGGGATGCTCTCCAACCCAGCACACCCCCCTTCACGGGGTTTTGGTGAACGTACGCGGAAGAGCCGAGGGCAGTGCCATCTGGGGCATACTGACTTCCCCATCACTTTGTAGCCACAAGCAGCTCCTTAGCCCCCGACCTCGGCCTGGCCCATCTGTTTCACCCTCAGTTTCCATCGTACTCTCAGATGAGGCAGAGATGCTATCTCCCAGGGGCGCCTTAAAGGCGGAGCGAGCCACATAGGTACAGTCCTTGGTATACAGTAGGCACTCAGAAGTGGCAGGCTGTCAGCTCAGGGCACAGTCTCCGGACCTTGCTCCCTAGGTTTGGGTCCCTGCAGAGTCTGCCTCCTGCAGAGTCTGACTCTGAGCAGGTGCCTGCACCTCGGGGCCTCAGCCCCCCGCCACCTCTGTCTTCGCCCAGGGGATAGGGGTCAGAGGTAAGTCACCGGCGAAGCAAATGTACAGTGACAATGGGAGGAACCTCCATGGTGCTGGGGGCCGCCAGTCAGAGGGCTCCCCCGAGGAAGGGGCTGACACCCAGAGCACGAAATAATAGTGAATATCACCCAATAACACCGTGGAGGCCGTCCTGCGTGCCGGGCACTGCTGGAAGCTTTGTGTGTATGAAGTCACTTCATCTCTACCAACCTGACTAGGAGGTAGGTGCTGTTATTACTTCTGTTATTCAAATGAGGATACTGAGGCCCAGAGAGGTTTAGTTCGCAGCCCAGGGTCACACAGCTATGAAGTGGTAGAGCTGGGATTTGAACCCAGGCATTCTACTTGCAGAGTAGGAATGGGGTTGGTGTGAGGGCTGAATGAGTTAGTCCATGAGCCAAGCTGTTGACCAGATAACAAAGGCAGGATAGGCATGTGCAAAGGCCGCGTGGCAGAGGCAGTGTAGCCCTGTGAGAAGTGATTGAAGCCCAGAAGGTAGAGGGACCACCGGGAGCCTGGCCTTGCCAGCCTGGGATGGAGTTTAACTATTACTGTAGAGCATGGGAGGCCACTGGGGAGGGGCTGGGGACATCATGGCTGTAGGGTTTCGGGTGGGCAAGTGAGCACCTTCCCTTCTTGCGTGCACGGGGCTGTGGCTGCCTGCCCTGAGGCTCACGCTGCCTGGGGACCGAGAATGTTCAGGAGGCAGCTTCCCCAGGAATTGGGCAGCTCTGGGGAGCTGGCCGCCTGCCCTCAGGCCCAGCGCCACGTGGGGAAGGAGGGGCAGGGCAGGAGCAGGGCTGGGATGAGGGACTTGGTTCCCCTGGGAAAGGTCAGCCTGGCCTGGCTTGGAAGCCCAACCCAGCTGTGCGAGAGGCCCACGGCTCTGCTGGCAGCTCCTCCAGGCCCCAGCCCTCTTCTCTGGCGG